GAGAACTGCTGTTTTTTTTTGTTTGTTTAAGGAAAAGCCTTTGTTCTATCTTGTAAATATGGCTTCCTTTTACCAACCTCACTCTTGTAGGAATATTTAACCAATGGTCTGTTACACTTCTCCCTTTGCATGTGAGGAAGGGGAAAATGAGACCTGTGCTCAAGCTGAGTTTGAAGCATCAGTTCTAAGTACAGGAGTGTGGGGAAGAAGGTAGGGTATGGGAAAGGCATAGAACATAACTTTCAAGGGTTTCTGGAAAGATGAAGGCCAAGGCTGATATTTACACAAGCATCAAAGAATCTATCTATAGGAAGGGCAGGCTGAGAGACTAAATATGAATTCACAGCCAGGGGGCTGCAGTCCAGAGAGGAAGATGGAGTGAAGGTTTCAGAAGGGTCAGAGGAGCTGAGTGTGGAGAGAGCCTTGAAATGGGAGCAGAAAGCCCTTTGTCAGGGTGGTGATGTGAATAGTTAACAGGGTCCACCCTGGTTGCTAGGCCACTTGGCTTACTAGAGATCATGAGAAGATTCCAGTTCTCAGGGCCTTAGGAGATTTTACTCACTGTGTGTTGGGGCCAGGAACTTGAGCAAAAAGCCTAGTTCACAAGAGGAGTTAGTTCTTATCCAGGGTAACATTACTTTTGCCCACACTAACACAGTTCCAGTTCACAACATTTCGCCAGTTCGACCACCCCACTTTGGCTCAGCCCTTATCACCTTAACACACCGCATCCTACTTCATGCATCGGGGATCGTTGTCAGTAGGGAGCAGGGAGCGTTTGCTCCAGAGGACCTCACAGCAGCTCATAGCCTCCTCTCCCGGGTCCCTTGAAGCCCTTGCAGGAGTGCCCATCTCTCTCATGGGCCTCATGACATCTTAGCACCTGGAGTGCAGCTCTGAGTGCCATGTGCTGTCTCCAGTGTCTAGTATCACACACTGTATGCAGAGATTACACGGACCCACAATGCTAACGTCAAGGAAGTAAAACATCCCAACTCTGATTATATAATGACACAGAACCCAACACGGGAGGCTATGCAATGTGTCAGGATAAAAGAGAATGTGGGGTATCACAAGGAAGGCCTTCGTATGGACAAAAGAAAGCCAAGTATGAGACAAGAGATAGAGAGAGATCATAATGTAGAGCAATTTTCAGGAGAAGAAAACAGTGAGAGGTGGGTAAGGGCATTTGTATTCCAACTGCATCCTTGCTCCTTTGGCCGGACCAGCATTGTGGCTCACACCAAGTCTGTTTGCTCCACCCTCCTGCCCCTTTTGTGTCTTCACAGCAGGGCATTGTTAAGGGTAGTTGGCAGCTTGAGAACAATCATCGTACTCTACTATATACACAAAAGAACATGCCATCAAATTTTACTTCTGTTAATACTTTAAAGAATTATACTTCCTAGTTTTCAGCCTAATAGAGCTTTTGCAGTCTCTTGAATATTGAGTAGGGATACTTCCTCTCCCTCCTTTTTTTAACTTATTCATTTAACACACACCTATTGGGTACCTACTGTGTGCTAGTCATAGTCCCACATGCTGGCATCGTGGCTGTCACTATGGGAACAAACAAATGAAAAAGCGAATAAATGCAGATTTTAATTTAAGGTAGGACTGGGGCTCTTTATATGTAATATAGAAATTGAGCAAGTCCTCACTATCGAAGTAACACTCAAGCAGAAATCTGGGTAAAAATAACTAGAAGAGCAGCTTACATTTTATAAGGCATTTTCTAATGGTGCCGGGGGCTGTGCTAAGAGGTTTTCATGTATTATTTCATTTAATCCTCTCAGAAGCTCTTTGAAGAATATACTTTATTATCTGCATTTTATAAGTACGGAACCCAAAGCATCAAGATATTCAACTGCCTTCACAGGGTCATGCAGGAAATGAAAGTTGGGATGGGGATTTCATCCCAGCTCATCTGACTTTAGAGCCTGAGGCTCCTAATCACCGAGCCCCACTTCCTAAGGATTTGTACCCCAGTGGAAGAAACTCTAGTTCTATACTTTCCATCTCCCTCCTCGAGCAAAGTTGTTCACACTGCGCTGTTTGGAAGCCCCAGGGCTTCTTCACACCCAGTATATGTGTATGGATCCCACACTGGTTTCTAGGAGAATGGTTCTTCTACTTGGGCTTGTTTTATAAATTAGACTTAAGTAGAATAATTATTAAAACCATGGTAAAGGCCTTAAAAGAAAGTTTAAAATGATACATTTTGTGAATTTCTTTTAACGGAAGGATTTTGTGGTTAGGTAGTTGTAGTAACAGCGGTGGCAGCCGTGGCAGCAGCAGCAATGACAGCTGCAAGCACATCCGTGCTTACTAAGTTCCAAGTACTAGTCTGAGTAATTTGCGGTACTAACCTGTTTGATCCTCAGAGAAATCCGATGAGATGGGTTCATTAGACAAACAAGAAATCTAAAGCTCTAAGGTATTCGCTGAATATCTTAGGTCAACACCACAGCTGGTAAGCAGCAGGATTAGGAGTTGAGCCCAGGCTGTCAAGCTGCAGATTCTGTATATTGTCATCCCATGACCTAAGGTCAGGGACCTGAACCTTCCATGTCACTTAGCTTAAAGTGAAAGCTATGCTTGCTGAGAAATCCTGACTTGGTGGGTGCATGACCATGGAGAGCACTTGACACATTCATGCCAGCTAGAGGATGTCTCCATTAATTCAACCTTACCTGTGACACTCCCTACCTAGACTTTTTGCCAGTGAAGGTGTGACATTTCTCTGGAGCAAAACTTGATTGCCAAATTTTATATCCATGAACCTGGCTTGGCCTGTTTTATGTCGCTAATTTTAAAGAATTGATTGTTGGTTAATCATATTAATGAATTAAGCCTGAGTTGGCCATAGCCAGGGCTCAGCAGGGCCCTAAGTCAACACCAAGCAAGAATACACATTCTTTTCACATGCCAGATACACAGTCAGCCTTCAGATGGCTTTCTTGACCAAATGTTAATTCAAAAGGTTAAAAGGCCTAGAAAAATCATTATAAACTCTTCACCTCGCTCCACCTCCTGCACTGCAAATTCTGACCCACACCTTGAGGGATCATCCATGCTAAACATTTCTAAAAGGTCTCTGCCACTGTAAATTCTTGATCTGCTGTGAGATTTCTGGCAAATTAGAATTGCTATTAAGTCTCTGCTGCATTTCTCTCTGTTAGTGTAGGGTCCTGTCTAAATGGTATAATGCAGTGTATCTACTGTTAATGGCCAGTCTGCGTGAACCACAGAGACTGAAATTAGGAAGAGTTCCGTTCTGCACTGAAAATGTTTGGCCAACGTAAATCAAGGGCCTCAATCACTGATCTCACCCAGAAAAAGAAATACAATCAATTTCTCATATTATAAAATTTCTGGCCAGTGCCTATGGGATCACTCTGCCTCATTGTACAACAGAGTATGTTATGAGAAAAATGAGGGTTGGTGCCGGGGCTTCCCCCACTGCCTGTTGCCTCTTTTATTGTTATTGCTTTCGCAGTATTCATCGTTTGTGCCTCAAAGCCACCAGACAGGGTCCCACAAATCTCTCTGGCTCCCTGTGTGGGAGCCAGGCTGAGATGATATGCAGCCCTCTGGGTGCTCCCAGCACCATCATTCTAGTCCCAAACCGAGATATGATTTATCATATCCCTATAAAACTGAGGCTCATTGTCCTAATCGGAGTCATTTATCCTGCCTCGAGCTATCAAATCAGAGCTCCTGGGTTGTAGGGAGTTAGTTAGGGGTGGTTTTTCTAGTATGTTTTGCAATGTATATTTTCAAATGTATTTTGAAGAGACTCTCGTTTATAAAGGCAATGTGCTCTTTTTTTGTTTGTTTTTAAATAAATTTTACTATGTATATTTGAGGTATACAGCATGGTATTATGACATATATGCAAAATAGTAAAAGAGTTACTATAATGAAGCAAATTCACATATTCATCATCTCACATAGTTACTCACTTTGTTGTTTGTTTGTTTTTGTGGTAAGGGTAGCTAAAATATACTCATTTGGCAGGTCCCAAAACAGTACAGTTTTACCTGCGATCTTCAACATTACACGTTAGATCTCTAGACTGGTTCTTCCTACAGATCTGCTACTTACTAAACTCTGACCTGTATCTCCCCATTCTGTCCTCCCAACCTCCACCTCCGTCTGATAACCACTGTTTTATTCTCTATCTCTATATATTTCACTTAATTTTAAGATTCCGCATTTAAGTAAAATTGTATGATATTTTTCTTTTTGTATCTCATTTATTTCACTTAGCATATGTCCTCCAGGTTCATCCATGCTGGGGCAAATGACAGAATCTCTTAATTTTTAAGGCTGAATAATATTTCACTGTATTTATATGGCACTTTTTAATCTGTTTGTCCTTTGATGGATACTTACATTGTTTGTGTATCTTCGCTACTATAAATAATGCTGCAATGGGCACGAGGGTGCTCTCTTTGCAAGACAGTTATTTCAAAAGTAATATGGACTTGTAGCACATCTGGGTAGAACCCTTGCAAAAAGTTGTAGCTCCAGTTGGCAGCTCTGTAGGTTGAAATATGCCCCATCCTGGAAGAGGATGCCATTTAAAAATTTGTGACTGTAATATAAATACCTGCTCACTTGAGTTAGAAGAAACATGTAACCCTTAAAAAGATGATTCTGCTTAATACTTTCTAATCCAGGAATGTTAAGAAGCAAGAAAGCCTATGTACCAAGAGAAAAGTGGGATTTGGATCACACTAAATTCTATTTATGTCAAATGTTTTATTTTGTTAAAGTCACATGTGAAAATAGCCATATTGAATGATGGAAATCTTCAGTTCAGCTCCTGTTAAGGAGAGAGAATGTTCCTCTGAAAGATTTTCCAGGAACATTCAAAGCAAGGAGCAAATTACTCACAGCAAATCATAAAACGGTGGGAGAAGGAGAGACTCGCTTTGAAACTCTTCGCTTCTTGCTCCAGTTCCCACAGTAAACAACAGCACAGTTTTACAGTGTTGCGTACGGACCCAGAGGTATTTATTCACACTCAAGAAACACAACTTCTAACTACACAAAAATGAATCCCTCCTGACAATGTTTAAATAAATTGTGCCAACCCACCAATAAAGCACGCCGACATGTCATGAAGTGACAGCCATCACTTTAACACATTTCATCACCACTCTGCAGAGGCTGACTATCTGTATCTTATCACACTGTGAAGGGTCCTTTGTTCCTTCATTTCTCCTGGCGTCTTCTTTTCTCTCTAATTAAACAACCCAGCCATAGCTGTTGGGCAAAGAAAAAAGACATATATCATTAGTTTTAGTTATTTTTAAAAGCACCTGCATTTTAAACACAATTTGCAAAGATTATCAGAAATAGATTATTAACCTTTTAAAGTGATAATGACACGAAATTATATAAGTAATTTTCCTAAAGATAACACACTGAAAATAATGTGTGACACCGTCGACAAAAACCTCAGCATAGGCTTTTGTTCGAATTCAGTTCCTTTGGGGTGACTTTTTAAATAATCAAACCGTTTGTCTGTCTTCACATCCAGGAGTGTCCATACCACAGGTATCCTGACATTCCCTAATTTTTTAGTTTTACTTTCTGGTTTCTTTGTTAATACCAGAAAGGGAATTAGCACAAGCTTGTCCTTCATGGCTGACCTCTCCAGGTTTCTTATCAGTTTTATTTAAACCAGATCTGAGAGGCAGAAACCCTAGTAGGGATGCGCCCAGCTAGTGAGATAATTAGGAAGCACTGTCTCCGTAATTACTGTGTTACTATCTCTGGAGGGACATGAAAGGCTGTCCTGTCCCTTTAACAGGACAAGTTGCTAATTCCCTTAACATTTTTTTCCCTTTGAACTGATCATATTTCACAAATTTTTTCTTTGTGAAATATTTCTAAAGGGAGGCTTAAGCAATAATGTACAGATTATGGAAATGATGCTCATTAAGTAGAAGGCGAGATTTCTGGAAAGCCACAGAGCTGCCTCGAAACATGTAACCTCCATTAGAGGCTTCACTTGAATGTTTATTCATGGAGCAGTAAATGTTTATTATTATACACTTTATTGAAACATAAAGAACTGTAATTATGTGTATAGCAAACAGTAAGGCAATGTGCATTTGTCACAAAATGAGTAAGACAAGGAAAAATGCCATCATTGGTTCATTTACATCCAGATCCTTTTTTGTATACCCAACAGAAAGGCACCCAGAGGGAATCACTGTACAAATTAATGTTCTCGTATGATGTATTAATAAAAAAATACATATTCTTGATATTCTTTCTAACAAAGAGAGCATCCTGGAATTAATTTGTAAAGATCAGGAGGTACCCAAAAAAGGGCAGATTTCTTCTTGTTTCCTGAGAGAACCACAGTAGCTCTTAATGAAGTTAATGCTGAACAACAAATATGTCCCCTTGGCAGTCCATGCAATGCTGACTGTTTTTAGGATGGGCTATCTCTCCAGACATTGGAGCATATCTGAGGAGTTTTTTTTAGAAAAGGGTTTATGTGAGGCCAGAAACACAAGAACTTCAAACTTACATTTTGGTAAAAAGATACTTTTCAATGGGGAAGAAAGGTGTGTGTAATGTGATCATAATGGCTCTTCATAGGCCATATCTTTGTATGCGCAAGAACTCTTGAGCAGAAGGAAAAGAAAGAAAATCAGTGCATATATTGTTTCTTCTTTCAAGCAAGCTAAGATATTAAGAGTACTATAGTTGTCCATTTTATAACCATCCATTCATTCATCTCTGCACCTATCTGTCCACATTGTACATGTCCACATGTACCTCCCTACCCACCCATCCACCCACCTATCCATTCACTCATTCATTCATCTACCACCCATCCATCCATCCACCCACCCATCCATCCATCCATTCAGCATTTAGAAGATATGTCTTCCAACCTAGGAACCTAGGGGTAGGGGAAAGAAATAATCAGGGGAAAAATAAGTAACAAATAGCCCAGAGTTCCAGACTAGTGGAAGAGAGAAAACCTGTAATTACTTATGCTTTGTGATTAAAAAAAAAAAGCCATCATGGATATATGTACAGTGAATCAAAAGAGCCTGAAAGAGTCTGAAGACTACATAAAGGAGGTGGCATTTGAGCATGCTCTTGAAAACTTAGAGGAAAAGGAGAGAATGAAAAAGGAATTCCACATGTAGGGAAGAACATTTATACTTTTTTCTAGCAAGCACATGTACTATAAACTCTATGACTACCACAAGAGCTGACAAAGTACAAGGGTGACAAATCCTGAAACATCCTCTGTGTCTCCTGAAAGTCATTTTGAGACTTTCAGACATTTTCAGATGGAGACACTACTAAGGCACTGTCCCTTCCCACCCAGCAGTGAGCAGAACCAATTTTACACAGAACCTCTGAGGTCCTGCATGTCTGGCTGAACAGGAAGACTCATTATTCTGGAATGGTCTGCCCAGAGTTCCACCTGTTCATAACCCAAGGCAGTAGGGTTGACCTCACCTGAGAGTTATCCTGGTTTTCTAGCTCTTGATTGGGTTTGTCAACTTCTCTAGAGCCAACGATTACAAATTCTACTGTTATGGTTTGGCTGTGTCCCCACCCAAATCTCATCTTGAATGTTTCATGGGCAGGACCAGATAATTTAATCATGGGAGTAGTTTCCCAATCCTTTTCTCATGATAGTGAGTAGTTCTCATGAGTTCTGATGGTTTTATAAGGGGCTTCCCCCCTTCGCTGGGCACTCATTCTTCTTGCTGCCACCATGTGAAGAAGGATCTGTTTGCTTCCCATTCTGCCATGATTATAAGTTTCCTGAGGCCTCCCCAGCCAGGTGGGACTGTGAGTCAATTAAATCTCTTTCCTTTATAAATTACCCATTCTCAGGTATGTCTTTATTTGCAGTATGAGAATAGACTAATACATCTACTCTCTTCTCATTAAATAGCTTTAAGAATTTAAAGCTGTCACATCACTGAAAACCAATCACAAGCCAAAAGAAAATACAGAATATTTGTACAAGATTGATCTCAAATTTGTTAGAAATATCTTCTTTCTAATGGGCCTGTCTTGCAGAAGAGCGTAGTATCATAAGGGTGAATAGCAGGGGGTGCAGGGGCAGTGTGCCTAGAACTTTTACTAGGTTCTATTCAACTGTACCAGAGTACTCATAGTAAGTATCACACTTGGATGTTGGAATTGGGCAGACCTACTCATTCCACCTTCCTAGGCCTTAGTTTCTTCACCTGTAAATTAATGATGACAGCAATTTGGATTATATCTATCATGCAGTTTTATGATAAATAATTGAGATCTTATGAAGAAAGCGCTTAGCTCAGTTCCTGGCATATGGCGGCTGGCATATAGTAAGAGCTTAATAAATAGCAACAGCTATTACTGTTACCTCTTGTGATGATAATAAGCAAAGAATGCTCAACTGGAGAGGTTTCTAGCATGCTTGAGGTTTTTTGTTTTTGTTTTTAGAGCTTGAGGAGCGGCCCTGATTTAGTCTAAAAAATTTATTTTCTCTCCCAGAGCTGTATTCTGAACATGTTGGATGTTTTATCAAAGGTCTTGATAGATAAGAGTTAGTAGTTCATTCTTTAAAAACTTTAAAAGAGCCTTCTTTCTTTCCTTTCTTCTTTGTTTTTCCCCACTACCTATAGATGAGATTAGTTAGAATCCAGAGAAATAAAATTTCCTGGCATGAACTACACTACTAGTTAGGGAGACTATAGAATTTATTGTCCAAAGCAGACTTAGGAGAGTGAAAGGAGATGCCATTTGTTATTACACTGGCCTGTTCATACCTGCAGGCCTAAACCTGGATGGTTCCAAATAAACCAGGGCATATGGTCACCCAGATTTAGTTATTTAATCAGGAAGGAGTATAGCAAAATACAGTTGATTCTTGGCCTCCCATCATCCCGGCTTAGAATCTTCGCTCAGCCACTTTTGCCAGCTTGGTGAACTTGCATGATTTATTTAATTCTAGTAAGCATCAGTTTGCTCACTGAAAATAAAGGAGACAATAACCATTTCTATCTTTTAGTGAGGACTTGATAATATACAGTACTAAGTTCAGTCCCAGCATATAATATTCTTTGTAAATGGCAGCAAGTCTTATAACTGATAATGACTTAAAAATGGTGGGTAAATGAATGGTGTGATATTGCCATAAATATATAAGTAAAGCTTTTGGGCTTATGTGAAAGAAATAATTAAAAGATGTGTCAATATTCTCTTTATAGAGAAGAAGAGGACTGAATTTGGGGGATTCATTTACTAGCCTGTGAAAGAACCCACATTTTTCTAGATGCAAAGCCTGCCTCATTCACATCTTTCAAATGACAGGCTCAGAAGAGTGGGTGATGCTCTCATTTCCATGTCTTTCTTACTCAGATTATATAGTTAACTTACTACCACAGGAGAAAAGTAGGCTGGGACTTCTTTCTTAGACAGCCAGTGGTTTTATTTGGTGGAGGATGCTTTTGCCCTTTCGAAGTGGTCAAGGAGAGAGGTGAATGCCAAGAAACCAACAGTAATTTGAGAGTTAGAATCTGCTGGTGGAAGCCCAAGGAGGAAGAAATTAGAGGCAGGAAAATGGGAGGGAAGACTGTTAATTCCTTATGGCCAGATGTTTCCCTCCACATGGCAGTAACTTTACTCCATTCTTTCCTTTAATTCACTTAGTAAAGGAAGATGGAAGAAACCACTTGAAATGTAATTGTCTTTCACTGTTCCTGTTTAGCCCTGTTACACAAACAGTAGGGAGATTTCTCATTTTGTTCTGTTTATTGCAGTAGGATTACAAAAAAAAAGTTCTCTCAACACCTGTTTTCTTAATTGATTGTGATTACTTTGCCCCCAAAAGTGAGTGGTTTTAAACAAAGTGGGTACATTCTCATAAGCAACATTACCATCTTGTAAACACAACGTTAAAATAGGAAAGGTGACAGAACTATGACAACAGCTCCCTTTTCTACTCTGGATGAGAAGCACATATGCCATTCACCTTTTTCTCCTCGTTTGCAATCAGTGCTTCCTTTGCTTTACAGAGACAAATGCTAGACAAGGCATGTTTTATTCCTACATGCCCTGTTTGAGAGTAATGAGTAAGGAAGTCTATCTACTTTTTTTTTTTTTTTTTATATGGAGTTTTGCTCTTGTTACCCAGGCTGGAGTGCAATGGCGTGACCTCGGCTCACAGCAACCTCCGCCTCCTGGGTTCAGGCAATTCTCCTGCCTCAGCCTCCTGAGTAGCTGGGATTACA